AGTCGAGCATGATTGCCCTTTGCACTCTGTGCACAGCTGTAAAGCAACCGGCAACAGGCGACCTTTTTTGGCGGGCATTTTGTAGAGCATGAGAAACTTTACGGCAGTCTGAGCAAAAAGCTGACGCATTTAATTGCACAAACTATGGCCTAGGCCTAGGTCGACACGCAATTGTTGCTCTTTCATCCATAATTAATTGAATACAAAGTAAATACACCCATGTAGACGCCTTTCAAGCCACTCAAGCTTGCAGCGCTCGGCGCACAGCTTTGAGTGCTTCTCGCATGGATTCGACTCAACGCGCGTTGAGTGAAACTCGTTTGCTGTGGCATTCAACGTGAAACACATAAAAGTACGCCACCTCGTTRTTCGAATTTCAGTTACAGTTTCTGTGTCAACTTTGCCAGCCAGCCAGCCAGAGAGTCAGCCAGTCAGCCAGGTGCAGTGTTTGTTCCAGTTCCCCAGTGTTGAGTCAAGTGGTGGGCGTTACCAAAGAGATCGAGATTAAGATCACAATCAACGATGTTGCTGTTGTTGTTGTTGTTGTGTGGGCTGTTAATGTGCAACCTTGACTTTGGCTCCAGTTCTGTTCAAATGCCAAGCTGCGCGCCTCTCGTTCGAATGCTAATTTTTAATTGTGACTAAGACTGTGAAATATTTCAGCCTATGTGGAGCAGACTGACAATTAAGTCGCTGCAGCTGTCCGCTCTTATCATTCAGCCAATACATAAATAAACAAATAAAGAAASACAAACGTCAATTGCGAAAAGTTCATGGATAAAGCGCCAGTTACTGCAGCAGCAACAGTTGCTATTGCAGCAGCAACAATTGCTGCCAGTTAGGCCAGAGTCGTGCTCAGGCCTGTGCCTAGTCGCTCCACTTGTTGGCGCGATAATTGATTTTTCCGTAAATAATTTATGACGCACGTAACTGACAGTTTCTGCTGAAAGATTACAAATTGCCACTGACCAATGGCCAACGCACCCAAATTATTAGGCCCATAGCCATATCGTTTACTAGCCTTCAATTAAACCAAAATGGAACGGCTCACCTACAATAAGCTCTCCTCTCTTGCAGCGCCTACGATGTGGTCCACCCGCCTGTTTTGTGTGTTCGCCTGCCTTGCACTCGCCCTGAGCACAGCTCGGGCTCAGTTCTTCTACCACCAGGCACTGGGACTGCCAGCCAAGGCGGCGTATGAGCCAGAGTCGCCGTACACGGGATACGCCACAGCCGAGGCGCATCCGTCGGTGGTGAAGAACGCACAGTGGGAGTCGGAGCTGCCTCACGAG